GCTCGCCAGCGCTGTCTCTCTCTCTCTCTCTCTCTCTGACAAATAAATAAAATCTTTAAAAAAAAAAAAAAAGAAAAAGAAGAATACAATTCAAAAGAGAGAAACTTGCTACTGTCTTCTAACCACATTGCCAGCAAAGTAGTCCCATGATGAGAGTTCATTAAAGTTCATTAAATCATTAAGTTCATTAAAGATTATTGGTAATTCTTCTGTACAAGTTCAAGTTAGTTAAGGTAAACTCACCCACACTCCTGATCATCTGTCTCACTAGAAGACAGTCATTTTGCATCTGAGCTTGAAATGCATCCTTCCTCTCTGAACGTGCATTGGGTATTGGAATCTCATGGTACAGTTTTTGTTTGGTTTACTTGAGGCATCTAATCTGAATGTAAAAATTTGTGCAATTGGAGTGTCACTTGCAAAAGGGCCTTTTGTACTGTGAAGTAAAGGCAATAAGCCAAATATTTGAAGAGCACTCTTTGGTGCCTTGTATATTAATGTCCCGTGTCTTCATTTAAAAAATCGAATTGTTGTTAATTGCCTTTGCCTCTCCACATCATTCTGTGTAGCTCATTCGGGGGTTCCCAACCTGGCTGTATAGGAGAGAGCATGGAGGGATTTTTTTAAAATGCTCATACCCTATTTTGCTCCTGAATGTCTGACTGCATGGAGACTTGGAAAATAGTATATTTTAAAGTTCACCCAGATTTGTCTAATGTGCAGTCCAGACTAAGAACCACAGAGCTAACTGGACCATACTTCATGAGGACAGTGATCAGGCGCTCTCTTTTCTTCCTTTCTCTCTTTCTTTCTTGTTTTTTTTTTTTTTTTAAGATTTTATTTTTTATTTATTTGATAGAGAAAGTGCAGCAGAGGGAGAGGGAGAAGCAGCCTCCCACTAAGCAGGGACCTCGATGTGGGGCTCAATCCCAGGGCCCTGGGATCATGACTTGAGGTAAAGGCAGACACTTAACCAACTGAGCAACCTAGGCAATCCAGGCTCCCTCTTTTCTCTACGTATAGTCCCTGAGTGAGTGAATAAACAACTCAAGTGAATATAGGTCCGATTTTATATACTGACTTCTGCTTTACTTTGCTGTGAATAATGACTGTTGGTCATACATACGCTTTAGGAACATCAGTCTTAAACATAAAGAAAGGGCAGAATCTGGCAATGAATTTGTGACCCACATGGCTTTTGTGGGTACATAATGACAAATCCGTGCAAGAGCAGCGCGAACAGACACAGCCACATGTCCGGTGAAGTCACATTCTGTGCCTGGTTTTACAAATGCCCCCTTGTGCATCTGGGTTTTCCTGGAGTGTTCCAATTCCTTGTCATCTGATTTTTTTCAGTAAACTTAAATCTGTTCAACTGAATACAAATTTATTAAATTTGCTCATTAAAATTTAATAAATTTATTGAAAATTTAATTTAAATTTTATCTAATTTAAAATTCATTACAACTCACTTAAATATACTTGTTTCTTGAAAACAGATTCGTGAATCCTAAAAAAAAAAAAAAAAAAAAAGTAAAGCTCTCTGCCAACTTGGCCTTTAGAAATTGTTTTTTAGAATTTAGAATTCTTTTTTAGAATTTAGAAATTGTCGAGCCTGTAAGAATCGTAATAGGCAAGTGTACCAGTTTAAATCTGGGGAAAGGAAGTAACAGCCAGTTTTCATATTTTGCATGTCAAAGAGAGAATTCCCAAACCCTGAAATGCTATCTAATTTGTCCATATACTTGTCTTCACCGTAGAAGGTGATATTTTCAGGTCTAATTAACTGGTTGCCTGAGCTAATTTTCCTTTGAAAACTTTCTGGGCAATAAATAGAAAGTAGGAATATTAATTTCTTTCTGGCTTGAGTTGGCCAACTGGCTGGCATGGGCGTGATATCACGTCTCTCGTCCTCCATGATTGATGGCCAGGCCCACCTGCTACTGGTCCTTTCATCCTTGCCCTTTACTTCCTTTGCCCTCACTTTGGCCCCACTAAGCTTTTGTTCTGAGACCCAAGTCTTGATCATAGCATTACCCGTAAACAGAGAAGCAGAAGGTTCTGATGGTGCCCTCTTGCATTAGTCTTCTCACGGCCCCCTTGTACGGAATTGCAAAACATTTTGAGCACCTCAGAAGGAAGGCTCTATGTAAACATAAGGTACTTTTTCTTCGTTATCTGTGCTTATTAGTAGTAATACAAAATGGGGAGCTCAGAGGCCTAGTTTGGCTATTTCTTCAGATTTGAGATCCGTGTTTCAGGCCAGTGCCTTTCCATATAATCAAATATCGTATCAATGTGCTCTGTCAAATGTAACTTTAAATTTTACAATTTTGCACATTTGGTATTTAAGGGGATTGGATAGTTTTCTTTCTTGCTTTTTTGCTTTCTTTGTTTCTCTTTTTTAACTTTCTTCTTAGAACTAGAATTGGTGCAAAATCCAGTGATACAGTATCTACAAATAGAACTCTTTTTGGATAAAATTCTTTTGCTGTGTAAATAGGGCAATCTTTGATCCATGCATAGAAGAAATAACACCTTTTTTTATCCAAAGGACGACTGGTGTTCTGTATTGCTGGCTGTATTAAAGGGAAAAAAATGATTCATTCTGAAACTAAAGGCTGAATCTGACTGGTCCTTGAAGATTCAGCTTTCCTGTGAATGAACACGTGATGATCCTTCACTCTATGTTCCAAGCCATTGCCCCTCTCCACCTCCTGCACTGGGGGGTTGCACAGGGTGCACACTTGCCAGAAAAGACGGAGGAAACTTTCTGAATAGTCTGCAAAAGTTTCAGTTGCAAAAACATTTTATTTTTATTTTTTATTTTTTTTAGAGATTTTATTTATTCATCTGAGAGAGAGGGAGAGAAGGCGCGAGCAGAGGGGAGAGGCAGAAGGAAAAGCAAGCAGACTCCCCAGAGAGCAGGCAGCCCGAGGACTCAGGGGATAGGGACTTGATCCCAGGACCTGCAGATGAAGACCAGAGCTGAAGGCAGACACTTAACCCATCTGAGCCACCCAGGGGCCCCTGCAGAAACATTTTTAAACTGATAGATGAAGTAGGACTCTCAGTTTTATCACTTCCGTATTTAATCATTTTGAGGGTAAAAAACTGCACTTCCAAATCTAAATACGTGGGATGCCTGGTGGCTCAGTTGTTAAGCGTCTGCCTTCAGCTCGGGTCATCATCCCAGGGTCCTGGGATCGAGTCCCTCACTGGGCTCCCTGCTCAGCTGGAAGCCTGCTTCTCCTTCTCCCACCCCCCCCCCCCCCGCTCCCACTCTCCCCTGTTTATGTTCCTCTCTCGCTGTCTCTCTTTCTTTGTCAAATAAATAAATAAAATATTTAAAACAAAATAAAACAAACAAAAACTGAATATGCATTTCTAAACGGCCCTTGACATCTAGAAATTTTCTGCCAAAAATGGACACCTAAGTGAACTGGTATAGCTATTTATGTCCTATAGTTTTCCATTTAAACCATAGCCTCTTTTATAAAGAATCTAAAGATATGTTTACACGGGAAATCATGGCCATTTGGATGAAGAAATTATAGTAAGTATAATTTTATGGGACTGAGAGCTGCATCCTTAAAAAAAAAAAAAATCCTTCTCTGATCAAGCTTAGAAGCCAGTTTTATTGCTGTCTGCAGTTAGGGTGAATGAGACAAGGAGAATAAGGGGGTGGTCCCTGTGCTTAATGAGGGCCATATCATGGTAGTGCTTCATGAAGTGCTTTTTTTTTTTTTAAATGATTTTATTTATTCATTTAAGAGAGAGAATGAACAGGGAGAGTAGGAAAGGGAGAAGAAGTAGCAGACTCCCTATTGGGCAGGGAGCCTGACCCCAAGTCCCTGGGATCATGACCTGAGCCAAAGGCAGACACTTAACCAGCTGAGCCACCCAGGCATCCCTCACGAAGAGCTTCTGTGTAGGCTGACAGACTTACAACAGGGGAGAATCAGGTCTAAAATTTGCTTCAAGGCTTTAGAACATCATAAAGGGCACCCAGGTTGGGAAGACAGGCACTAAACGGGTTGGAGTATTTTTTCTCAATTTAAAAGGTGACATGGAAGGCCATGTAATCACTATTACAGGATTTGCCTGGTGGACCCCAGAGAATGTCCAGCATCCCTCTGGACTGTGTGACTGGGGAAGGATTTAGTGTTATCTCCACGTTTCTCTTCTATTTTCTGACACCTGGGTGTTCTCTCCTTTTTTCCACAGTCCATGTTTCAAGTGTTTTTTATATCCGTGAATGTAGAGAAGTCTTCATCTCCACAGTAAATGTCATGTGTCGGTGTATCCAAACTGCGTGATATGCCTCCCTTCGCTGCTTTGTCAGGCTTGCCTCCTTCCCTGCTCTCTCAGCCTTAGAATCAGATTTTCTAATTGCTTAAGCTTTGAAGTTTGCCAGATAGCTAGACCTATTTCAGGTGACCAGGGTGTCGACTAGTGTACCTGGCATGCTTCTGGTCTGAAAATAAAATTACAGTAATTTGCAAAGCTTGCTTAACAAATGCCATGAGCAAATTGGACCACGACTATACTTGAGGTAAATGCCGCTTTCCTTTGCCTTGGTCTCTGCCAACAGACTCTTTGTAAGGCTATCTTATAAATTTGGTTGGCATTTCTTTTGTCCTTTGTTGACCGTTGACCAGCTTCTTCCACTTTAAACATGGTGGCAGGAAGCAAGGAAGGAAGGAAGGAAGGCAGTCAGTCATTGTCAGTACCCAGTGATGTGGACCGTGTTTTAAGAATACAGAAATGGGGCCCCTTTGTCTTTACTTCCACTTCCACCCCCCTTATCTTAGTCACTAACTAGGTATGTTTCTACATGCATAGGATACAGTGCGGGCGTGTACGTATGTTTGTGTGAGTGTGTGTGTGTGTGTGTGTGTGTGTGTGTGTTGGTGTTATCCTTGGGAAATGTTCACTAATGCCTGCTTTGGGTGTGAAGGTAATTTCTATTCTTCTATTTTCTGATTTCTGAACTTCAGGAGAAGGTAAAGCTTGATGCTGAAAGGGAAAAACTAGAGAGGCTTCAGGAGCTTTACTCCGAGCAGAAGACCCAGCTGGACAATTGTCCTGAGTCCATGAGGGAACAATTACAACAACAACTGAAGAGGGTCAGTAGTAAACAGGAATGCGCCAGTTGTTTTTTTGTTTTTCGGTGTTTTTTTCAATGAAGTTCCACTTACCTATGACTTCCTACTTAACACAGCATAAATTTGCATAAGTTCTGGTCATTAGATACTTTTAAAATAGAAATATGCATGCTGATAGTATATATTATTTTATGCTATTCAGACAATTCCTTGTTAGAATCCTTCACTAATTTATAATGCAAAAAAAATAGTTCTGGAGTCATTCTTTGTAACAAAAGAGAGTTGTTCTTTGTGACATATAACTGACACTGAGATTGTAGCATTTAAATCAGCTGGCATCTTTTCCTGCATTCTCTGCTGCATCCGTGAGTACTGTTTGCCCTTGGGACGTTGGTTTTTTTGTTTGTTTGTTTGTTTGTTTGTTTGTTTTTACCTGTCTCAGCCTGATTTTCCACTTGGGTCCAAAGACGATCCTTGTCTCTGATTTGCTTCCCATCACCACTCACTGTGTTTCTTTTTCTTTCTGCTTCTTGGTGTCATTGAACTTCTTAGCACGCCACAGCAAACACCAAGACCCAAGATGCAGGGCCATATCCTCCGCATCTTCTCAGGCGAGCTTCCTCATTTTTTGAAGCTTAGTGCAGTGTGGACTTTGCGGTGGGTTTTATGGGGTTATTTTCCGATCATTGAAGTTGGCTGTGCTTAACATGGCCGTGCTGGTTATCTGCTGAAATGAGGCTTCGAGGTGGAGAGTTTCACAAACACTGGCCAGACCACATAATATTTCAGAGCCTCTTAACGATGGGGTTGTTTGCTCTGGACAGCAGCCCAAATAAAGCTGGGGAGCAGTCTTGGATCTCCAAGAGTCATGTCATAGTAATTTGTGCTAAGTGACTAACAGCTCATGATTCCATGTGACTAGAAAAGAAGGCTAGTTTCACGCATGCTATTCTGTCAGGACCTTCTTGGGAGTCGGCAAGTGGAAACACCAGCTGAGGTAGCCCCACCCTTGGAAATGTTTAAGGTGGTCTTTAATATAAAAACATATGATACCTTAGAGTAGCATTAGGTTATGAAAAATTACATTTAAAACTTTTCGGTGTATTACAGAGGCTGAAAGCATCTTAATGAACAGTACCAAAGGCAGCCAGGTCAACCTGCATCTTAATGATTTTAATATTTTAACAAACAGTAACTTTCTTACTATGTTGGATCAAAAAAGTCCCAACAATACTTCTTCCTCTTTACTCCTTTTAGTGTATACAGTTGAACTTGCTGTAAGAAGAGAAAATTTCCTGTCCCTCAATGTCGTAATTCTCTAGAAATCGTGTGGTGAAAATAACTGGGAAAACATTAGTATTTATAAAATTATATTTGCTTGTAATTTGTGTTTATGCCAGTTCACCAAAGAGATTGGGAAACGGCTTTTTATGTTGGTTCACTGGTTTTCAGCTCTCCTCATTACTAATGATTTTAAACAGTGGTCCTTTTACTTTATCTAGAGTCAGCAACAACTTACATATTTTGTTCTTCTCTGCCTCTAGTTATCCAAATATTGCTTGGACTCTTTATAAACACCACTGCAAATAAAAATTGGTAAATTCTACTAATATCTGAGACTTGGATTGATATAAATAATGTCTGTTTTCTTAATCTAGCCTCTGTAGGATAACTCTAAATGTATGTACATTCTAAGGATGTCCAGAAGAGGACAGGAAGTGATATAGACAGTCTCTTCCACTCTTTCAAGGCAAAGACCCTTATCTTCTTCCTCCCTGAGCAGAGTATAAAATTCTTATCATAAATCCCTTTCCTTGGGAGAGATAACTGGCTTGTGGTAGCTTCTGTTCGTCTGTATTAAGAGGTCCACTAATTTTGCAGGGATGATGACCAGAGTAACTTTCCACTGATCCCAGTGCTTAATTGTTATAAAGTCCACTTACTTCATGAGAAGTCCGTTCATACTAGGAACTTCCTGTGTTACCACAGCTCATTTCCCTTCAGATTTGAAAATCTTCAGAATGCAACTTCCCTACGAAGCTTTCCCAAAGGCATTTAAACTAGATGCAGTAAAGGTGATTTTATTACCACAAACTTCATTAGGTGGCAAGTCATACAAAAGAAAAAAATAAATGAAGAGGAAGAACATCATCTTCTTAAATGTGTGTTATCCCAAGTACTTAAGCTGAAGTTATGGAATGAATGATTTTTTGTGCACAACATTATAGCTTTATGAACGGGCTTCTTACTTCTAATCCCCTGCTTTGGAGTCAGAATACAGCTTTCATCTGAGTAGTTGCATGTAGTGAGGTGGATTCACCAGTCCTGTAGTTCCCTGGGATGCAAGCATTGTGGAAAAGAAAGCAGGAGTTAAATGATTTTTGTTGTTGTTGTTGTTTTTTGTTTTTTTTTTGTTGCCAGGATGAGTTCCACTAGTAAATGGAGGAGACACCTGGCGAGAACAGTTTTCTTGTGCTTTTGGTAATTTACTCACTGAATGGTTGATTTCAGTTTCTTGATTATATATATAATATATATATATGTATAATATATACATATATATATATAATATATATACATATTATATAAATATACATGTTCGGTGACATCAACAATTAGAAGACCTATTTTCTCATTAGTTCTACAATCAGTTTATCCTTTAATCTTGGGTAAATCCTTCAACTTCTGTGGGTCTCAGTGCTCATATATAAAATGAGAAGGTTGCACGAATGATTTCCATTCTTTTTTTCCAAATTCCAAAACTGTGCAGTTAAAGTGTTTGACTATAAGGCATAAGATGGAGAAATGTGAACAAACCCCAAGCCCCACTTAAATTTCTTTTCAAAGTTGGCCTTGAGCTGTCTTGAGAATCTCTCCTGCTATACCACATCTATTCTCTTCTGTCCCTCTGCTAAGCAAAAAAACAAACAAAACAAAATGCATGATGGACTGCATGTAAACTTCTGCCATAGAAATCCTCAAAACAGTTATTGGAAAAAAGAAGGAATTGCACTGAAATTTCTTGAGCACAACCGTTTATGTCCTTTGGTGCCTGGCCTTTGAGATTGCCATCCAGCAGAGATTTGTAATATTCCTTTTAGCAACTGAAGCGTAGTTAAAATTTTCATTCAACTAGTCCTGCCCGTCACTTTGAGCTTCCTGTATATATTACTGTATATTAAATTCAATGACTCCTGCCCCCAAATTCCATGCCCTGAATTCTTATTCTTATCTAAAATCTTTGCAAAGCCTTTTCCCCTCCCCAGTTTTTCTTTTACAGTGTAAGTTTATATACACACGTTCTAATTGTTTGGACAACTTGATCAGATGATGGTATCAGCAGAATCTGAGTGCTAAGCTTAGCTTTAATTTTCAACTTTCCTACCCAGTGTGTATTATTTTCATGCAACAGTTTAAATATTTACTGCAAACAAATTAGTGGCTCTGTGACCTTCACATGGTTAAGATAACACATGGTGTCTATTAACCAGATGTGGAGTGAGCGACGGACTACGGGACTACCATAGTCGGCATACTGTGAGACTCATACCCACTTGGAGTAAAGATTACTTATAAACTAAAAAAAAAAAGTTTATGAAACTATTTCTCTCAATAATCTTTAGCCACAAACCAAGCTTAATTGAAAGACTTAAAAGAAAGTTTTTAGATAAAAACTTGACTATGAATGACTGTGTGAATAAATATGTCCACTGATGTATTGTTTCAAGACTGCAGGGATTTTGTTTCAAGATAATAACACTCGAGTTATCTCTCGATTACTTCAGTAGTGACTAGATTTGGGCCAAATTCATTCATTCTTTTAGAAGTTATAAGCATAAAATGTCTGATAAACTTGAATGCCCACCAATAACCTGAAACCAAGACTGCTTTCTGTTTAGCCATTAAAAATGTAAAAAAAAAAAAAAAAAAAAGAGTGCTCAAAAATGCTGAATATGTTTTTGAAATTGTTTTTCTTGCTCTTAACTTTTAAGAATCCACTGTGTTGACATAATAATCTTGTTGCTATAGTGCCGCTTGTAATTACATGGTAGTTGATCATCCTTCTGTGAATCATCCCCCAAATAAAATTCATTCCAGAAGACAGAAATATATTATTCCATTTGATTAAAAGGCCTAATTTATCACTCACATCAAAACCAAAAGAGGGGGTGTTATGTTTAAAAACTGATAGAAATCTAATTTATCATATTTATTTATCCAACTCTTTCTGATGTTTCAAGTGAAAAAAAAAAAGCCACGTCCTGGCAATTTTGCCTATGTAGAGTTATAAACCAGCTAGCCCAGCCCAGCTACTGTTTCTTTTTGACCATAGATTACTTACAAATAATATATATTTTTAAATCTTCTATACCTTATTTATGGTCTTGTCAAAGTCTCTTAAAATTAAGTGTTTTTTTTTTAAATGTAGATTAAAGAATTGTTTATACAACATGTGCCAGTCTCTGCACAGATAGGGATTCACTTCTGTCTTCAGACATTTTGTAGGTTAGGAAATGCCTATCTGATGACCATCTGATTTTTATAATTTCTGGTCTTTCTTAAATGCCCTCAAGATTATTCCTAGAGTAGTACTTAACCATTAGAGACCTTCTTTGTGCCTGATGAATGCTGTGCTTCCACCCTTCCGGTGAAAATCTTGGTAAACAATGTTCAGGGATTCACAGAAGCCTAGTGTAAGAATACCAACCACCAAATGTTTTCAATGACTTCTCCTTTCAACAAAATTATTGGAGCATGCATGTCTATATATATATCATATAGATCTAATTTCTATGTATGCCAGATTTTGAGTCTGTTTTTTTTTTTTTTTTGTAGTCAGTAACTTTGGAATCTTGAATTTTATTTCTATACTAAAATCTCCTTTCATTTGAAAATTTTGGAAAATGGGAGCTTTCTCAAGAGACCATGTCACACCTTGGTGGACAGATAATGTTTAGTTATTTACCAAATTCTTTTTATACTTCAGGGCCCATTTAAAACCACCTAGTAGATTTCAAGCAAGAAGTCCTACCTTCACAGAACAGTCTCAAACTAATGGTCCAACCAGTGCTTCTCTCCCTGCTCCACCCCTAATCCCTTTCAGTTCCATTCTCATGGTCACTGCTCCAGGATTTAACTCCAAAAGACTGGATTATCATGGTCCAGCCCTGGTCAGCTTAGTAATTGGAAAGATATTTTGGACTGTTTGCTTTTAATATTTTTTTTCTTCATGTTAAGATGGCTATAGCCATTCTGGTATGTCTTGTTTTCATTCCCCTTTCTCCAAAGGATGCCGACCTGTTGGATGTGGAGAGCAAACACTTTGAAGACCTGGAATTCCAGCAGCTTGAGCGTGAGAGCCGTCTGGATGAGGAGAAGGAGAACCTGACCCAACAGCTCCTACGTGAAGTAGCTGAGTATCAGCGGAACATCGTGACTCGAAAGGTACTTTTGCCAGGTGTCATTCAGTGTGAAAAACCCACATTCGCCCCTCACTCCCTGACAGGAATCATCATTAATGTAGCTCTCTGTCTACCTGTCTTTATATTCAAATATCCAGGTGTGTTTCCCCACATGTCACATCTGACAGATTATGGAGCCTGCCATCTACATACCAAATAGTGCTCCAAGCTAGGTACACCAACATGTGTTAGTTGCTGTTACTTAATGCTGTAGATGCCATTGATTTATAATACCTGATTTTTTTTTTCATTTATGGGAAAACCAAGGGAGAGAGAAATCAGGAATTCAGATATTTGTTTTAAGTTACTTGCATTTGCAATCACAGTAACTAGATTTAGAATAGTTCTGCGAACAAAGTCTATTTTGGCATTTTCGGTTTTCACTGCTCATAGTTCCCGAAGTTGGCTGATAGCTTATTACCATTAGAAATAGCCCTGCCAGACGCCATACACATTGTTGGCTCTGCCCACCTCCTTCTTGATGTCCCGCCCCAGAATTTAGCTCTTGTTCCAAAACTTAGAATCACATCCCAGCTGCTCTATACTAAACCAGTAGAACTGAGGGGAAGGGAGATGAAGAAGGTGACTTTTTAAGCTCTCAGCTTAAATAAGAACTTACATTGTTATTTTTCCCATGAGGCATCTCCTGTTGACTTCTGCATTCTTCAAATAGATTTTAAACCACGTGGACTGGATTGGCCTTAGGTAAAGAGTAGCCTTCATCTTGGCAGGTCAAAGAGACTACTTCACAGTCTCTAGATAAGAATCACTGCCTACCACCAGCAAAAATGTCCTCATTGCTGATCCAGCTGTAAACACTTTTCCCTTTTCCAGGATATACTGGCAAACCATTGAATGTCTAACGGGCGTCTGTATATGATCATCTTTTTTCCTCCAGGAAAAAATTTCTGCACTGAAAAAGCAAGCCAATCACATTGTCCAGCAGGCTCAGAGAGAACAAGATCATTTTGTGAAAGAAAAAAATAATTTAATAATGATGTTACAGAGAGTAAGTATTTCCTTTTTTAGCACTGGTTGCAATAAAACTCAGGTTCCAGCTTGGGGGAAGCTCCTTCCTTCAAAGCAAGTGCCTTTTGATAATGAATAGTGGATTATAATTTTTAAAAAGGCTTTTTAATATACATTTTTATTTAATCCTCCACATTAGTAAGCTGATGCTCTGTGAACAATTAATTCAGAAAATAAGTAAGGATGTTTTCCTCATGATTTTTCCATGGTGTGAAAATTCAAACCATGAAAAATATGTACGTTTTCAGATTTTCTTCTTTTGAAAAAACAGATTTTTTTTTTCAAACAGGTAGAACATATTCTGCTTTTTTTTTGCTGCTGTCAAACGATTTGGCCCAGCTGCTGTGGGCCAAATTATTTGATTAATTATTTGCCTATGGGTCCCCACCTGGCAATGGCCCCATTGACTTTAGTTTGGCTTCATTGGCTAGGTAGTCCCAGCAATGGGGGCAAGACCATCCTCACCAAGGGGACTGTGGTCCCATCTGCCCAGGGCCTAATGTGACTGCACAGAAAGGGTTTCCTTTGCCCAGTCTGATTTTCTGACATAGTCTAAGATCTAAGACACCAAAAGTTAATTAAAGTTGATGGGCTGGTCTCAGCGCTGAGCCTTGTATGCAGGCCCCTGCATAGGATGTGATGCTTTGGGATCCTGAAAATATGAGATGTACCCAGAATGGGGTACAGGAGAAAGAATGAGGGACTAAAGGATGAGGCTAGACCGTGTTTCCCCACTACCAGACATGTAGCTGGAATATTCTCAACTTGGGCATTTAACTATTTTCAGGTTGAGAAGGGAAAAAAAATTGGTCCTTCACATTGAAGTATGCGTCCACTCAAGCTGCACCTATGTAGCCCACACAAATCCCTGCCAACTCCCCTCCTGCTTCTTTGACACCAGAAATCTCAGAATGGTTTTATGGTTTTTCATCCCTGTCTCCTGCTCTGGGGACGAGCCCTTCCATTAATATGCGCTCCACTCTTTGCACATGCTATTCAAAGGCACAGCTTAAATCAGATAGTGTAATAAGTAGGATTTAAGTAGTTCTGAAGTTTTAGCAAAAAGGAGGTGGGGGAATCTCATAGTGATAGATTTTTTAGAATGGGTGATCACCATCAGACAAATACCACTTCCTCATTAAAACACCTAAAATATAATTCTGTTCTAAAAATTGTGCTAATTACGAAGATTTGTATTTTCCCAGATTGATCTGTAGATATGTCTCAGTCTCAATAAAAATCCCAGCCGCCTTTTTTTGTAGAAATGGACACATGGATGCTTCAAATCTGTAGTTGATCTGCATTTTTCAAGGAGTCTGTATTTGTGAATTTGCCTGCTCACTAAAGTCCACTCGCAGCCCCCCAATCATACGTGTCGTACAGTTCACGGACGGATGTGTGCAGAGTGGCAAAAATCTTGAGTCCCGCAGCATACAAATTCCCTGCTGAGGTTGAACAAAGCAACAGTCTACCTTCCTGTTTCAACTCTCATGGAGTAAATAAGAGTCCTTTTTGTGGATTATTTTGTGCTGTGTTTTCACATTGCTTGTGCTTTTTTTGTTGATTAGGCTATTTAAAATGCCTCCCCAGCATAGTGCTAACATACTGTCTAGTGTTCCTAAGGGCGGGAAGGTTGCAATGTGCCTCATGGAGAAAATGTGTGTCTTAAGTAAGTTTCATTCAGGCATAAATTACAGTGCTTTTAGCTACAAGTTCAGTGTTTAATCAACTATATATCAAATACGGTATCTTTAAACAGAAACACACATAAAGCACAGTTACGGATTGATCAGTTGATGAAATTTTTTTGAGGAAGCACACAGTAATCCATCTCTGTATTTCCTGTAGGAACAAGGGTTCAGTGTTTACCATTTCAGTGTTCACGGCAATGCTGCAGAGCATAAGAATTACAAGTAATGAGAATCAACTCTGTATGAAAATGCCAAGGGCATAGAGTAGCCAAAATAACTTTGAACAGGAACCAAGTTGGAAGATTTATACTATTTGATTTCAAAGTTGCCTCTAAAGCTATAGTATTTAAAATGATGTGGTGCTGACATACAGCTAGACACATAGATCAATGGAACCAAACAGAAAGTCCAGAAATAAACCCACACATATACCATCTATTGATTTTTTTTTTTTTTTTTACACAAAGGGCTCCAAGATAATCCAGGAAAAAGAAAGTCTTTCCAACAAACTGTGCTGTATCACCTGGGTAAACATTCAAACAAATGAATACTAATGCCTCTGTCCTCACACCACACATATAAATTAATTCAAGGCAGATTGTACACTGAAGCAGAAAAATTAAAGTGATAAACTTTCTAGAAGGAAATGCAGGACTGCTCGTGCACTTCTCTGACCTTGGGGTGAGCGAAGTTTTCTTAAAGAGGAAATGACAAAGGACTTATATGCAGACTATATTAAAAACTCCTCCAGTTCAATAGTGATCAATAAACACTCAATAAATAAGTAAATTTTAAAAAGCAGTCCAAAGAATTGAATACAAACTCTTCACAAAAGAAGATGTATGAAGAGCCAGTAAGACACATGATAAAATACTCAACATCATTAGTCATCAGGGAAATCTAAGATTGGCCAAGCTTAATAGAATTTTCGTGTTCCTTCAGGAAAAGGAAAATCTTTGTAATTTGGAAAAGAAATACTCCAGCCTCTCCGGGGGGAAAGGGTTTCCTGTCAACCCCAGTACTCTGAAAGAGGTAAGCTGTGATTTTCTGTGTCCCCTTCTATCACCTTAGAGATCAAGAGCTGTGCCTCTGTTTTAGATGATTAACTAAATAGGAAAACATTAACTTGAGTGACTTGGAAAGCATCAGTGCTTTATGGTTTTCCTGCCTTTTATTTATGCTTTGAGGATTTCACAGATTATCTTTGTGTTTAGTGCAGGTGCACTGTGTGTGTTTGTGAGCGTGTGTGTGTGTGTGTGCGCAGACCACGCTTGACAGCGACATTGTGGGTTAACTTGGGGCTTCAGACAAGTTAAGATCCAAACCAAGATTAGGTCTTAAATTCTTTTCTTCTCTGCAATGCCCTTCTTCAGTTCCTCCTCTTTCTTATGTTACTTCTCCTTCTCCTGAATCTGACAGCAAATGAAAATGTCTCTGCACATTTGATAAGATAGCCTGGTGCCTTTCTTTTCTCTGTCTCTTTTCCCCCCAATGTTGTTTGTGCTCTTTCCCTACCTAACTTAGAAAATCCTATTTGCATTAAGCTCCACACATTCTTGCTCCCAAACATCCATCTTTCTGAAATACTTTTTTTTTATGGAGCTATGCTGCTATGATGGAAGAATATTTTAACTCTAATTTGTAAAGTCATAACCCTGACTGAGAAAGAAAAAAGTTGGTTCTTTTTAGTATAGTTGACACACATGTGACATTAGTTGTAGGTGTACAACATCGTGATTCAGCAAGTTTGTATGTTACCTGTGCACACGAGTGTAGCTATCATTTGTCCCAACTAAAAGTCATTATCTTTATATTTGTTTTTTTTCCAAAAAGCTAAAGAAAAAGCTTGCTTCTGCATAAAAATGTGTGTAATTAAAAAAAGCCCAAAACCCTTTATTTCTAAATATCTTTTTAAACAATAGCAAAGTTAAGACTTCCTACATAGGAAGTATTTTGTGTGTGAGTATAGGTGTCTGAAGTAGATGCTCATCACAGAAGAAGTATGAATAATGTGGATCTTGGAAGAATTTTGTGAAAGAGCTTTATTAGATGATTCAGTTTCATAGTTTCTCTCCATTATTCAGAAGACGGAACTCACAGATTCAGTAGACACAGGGTCATAGTGGATGGAGTGGAGCGGAAGAAGAGAACATCAGTGAGATGGGCAGGGACCAGGTCTTACGAGGTGTGTTAAAGAAATATGGTTTATCATATGTGGCTGGGCAGTCCTTGAGTGAGAGATTTTAAGCAGGGAGGTGATATTATTTGATATCCATTTGTTAAGCATCCCTCTGGGCCACTGGCCCAGTTTATGAGGAGTGAGAGGAAAAGCAGGGGAGCTGGGAGGGAGGGGATTGCAGTAGTGAAGGCTGGAGATGCTTCTCTCTTGCCTTCACGCAATGGCAGAGAGATGGAGAGAAATAGTCAGATGCAGACATATTTTGGAGGCAGAGCTGACAGTCCTTGCTGATAGGTTGGATATAAGATTGAAGTAAATCAAGGGAGGTATTAGGAATGATGTCATTTTTCCAGTTTGAGTCATGAGCTGAACAGTAAGGACCTTTTCTTGAGGTAGTGAAGACTGGGGCCAGCACAGGCTTAAGAGGGAAGATACATGGGTTGACTCTAGACCTACTGAGTTTGAAGGACTGTGGCATCCAAGTGAATTAGATAAACTCTAGCATCTTTTTACCTCTTGGTACAAAAAAATAATCTTCCCTTTTCTGCTAATGAGTTCTTTTTCTGTGCAGACTTCCTGATGCCAAAAGCCCGTTTGGTTTTTGACTATCAAAAACCAAAGTTGGTATGTCTCCAACTCTTATGTTTGTTGGGTAACTATTCTCTTTCATGGACTAAGCCGACTTGGCTCACGAGATGTTTTGAATTTCTTCCTTTCTTCCTCTCTCTCTTTCTCTCTCACCGTCTCATTCTTTCACCCTTCTCTCTTTTTTTAAGGAGTGATTAATTTATATCTAACTCTTTCAAACAAGTGCCACTTTTGACACATGGCATACATGTTTGAAGCAATAAATCAGGTTATATGGTCTATGATGTACATAGAATCAAATCTTTGTTTTGAAACACCACGCTGTCAACTGAGCAAAAGCATAACTGAAAGTCATTTCTCTTCATTCCCATTCATTACCAAAGACAAAAGGAAATTTAACAATCCAGTTGTCAATTTCCTTTCTTCAGTTTAATCTTCTGAAACTTTACATGGTATCTATTGCCATGAAGTTCAAGACTGTATTCAGCAGCATTTTGAAACCTACAATTTATAGTCAACTTTAGCTTTCCCCACTTTGCCATAATTATAAATCAGTAAAAAACTTGCTTTCCAGCCTGAAATTCTTGCTTCACCAACATAATGATATTTTGCCTACCCTGGAGCCACTTTTTTAAAGGATTGATGGGCTAATGGAGGATCCCAAGTGCTAAATTTAACTCAATTTTACCTTTAAAAGAGAAATATTATTCTATACTCTTTCTTCTACTTTTCCCACTGTTTTGTTGATATGGTGAAAATTACGATTGGTCTGTACAAATACTTTCCATGAAAATTTACAAGTGCCTTTTCCTCAAACATAAATTTGGGAGTTTTGAATCTCCCAGGTTTTGATTCATGGGTATTTTATTGAAGCTGAAGCCAAAACTGAATCATTGTCATGGGCAATTCTCTGTCCTGGAGTAGAGCTGGAGGGTTGGGGAAGCTGCCTTGAATTGAAATAGCCTCGAGCTGCAACTCTCCTGCAGGTTCTGTGTGTGTGTGTGTGTGTGTGTGTGTGCGCGCGGGCACACGTGTACACATTTATCTTGCTGGGGAAGGCTCAAGAGGAGACCTAAAAGCTAGATTGCATTACAAATAAATTAGTATTTATAAAATTTCTCTGTACAAAAACCTGAAGACTTCAGCCCACTTTTACTCACACTCTAACTTGTAAAAACAGAAGAAAAGAAGAAAATCTAAAAATAAAGATTTGTGGAAAAGGTTCTTGAATTACGGAATGAGAGATTGCATTGTAAATTTTATATCTCAGATTTGTGCGTGTGTGGTTATTTTAAATGTTGTATAATGACACCCTTAATCAACAGAATGAATGCTGTTACCTCTAGAAAATCTAAAATTGAAGGTTTTAGGTTATTTATATATAATTTAGTCATCTTGACTTCACCCCCCCAAATTATGTGTAATGCTTGTAATATCACTTTTCAAGATTAAGTGTCATAAATCCATTTTAATTGCTGATGATTCCCTTAATGCAACATTTGGTCATTCCACAGATACTTGGCTGTGCCGCTCAAAGCTAACTCCATTGTACTGGGAGCATTAATACTCTTGCATGCCTCAGCTTTTGCTTTCTTTGTGTTTAACTTCTGAATTCCTCCTTTTAGGGCTATATCAGTGTAAATGAAATTAATGAGCCATGTGTCAATTCCACGAATCTATCCCCTTCCACTCAGTTCCCCGCTGACGCTGATGCTGTTGCCACTGGGCCTACCACAGCTGTGCTGGTGAGCCAGCCACAAAATAAAGAGGTGTGTTGGCATGACATTTCATTCGTTCACTGCTTTCCTCATGTCAGAGATTAACCCATGGTTACCTGAAAATGAAGGTGTGTGTGACCATATACATCTGGTTGACCAGCAGGCCAGAGTGATGCTGAGTTTGAAAAACATACCCACCTGGGGCACTGTTTTGTGACTCTTCATACTGGAAATTACGAAATATATGGTGCAGAGTGCAGTACCAAGAGAATTGAGTTCAAAATTATAAAATCTAGATCGTAGCCCTCTGACCCAACCTCGTTTTCATAGAAACCGAAAAGCCTTTCTCAAATTGTTAGCTTGAATCATTTTTCCAGTTTGATTTTGTTTTCTCTTGTGTTAGTGGGATGGATTTTTTTTTTTTAATGTTATGCCTTTTTAAAACATCTGGGAGGGGCAAAGAATAGTAAATTAAAGTATCTTCTAACTGTTCCAAGTTGTTCCCAGAGTAGAATTTTAACAAAAATCTAAATTGAAAGATCCTTCCCACCATTTGTGACTTCCTGATTAAAATACAAGAAAACAGAATAAGGAGATTATCGATTTCATTTCTTTGTCTTATTCTTTCATTTCATATGGACATATACATACTTTTTCTTTCTCCTATAAAGCAAAGATCACCTGTCTGTTCTGGATTTATGTTTCCTTCCACCCTCTCTCCTCATCCTGTCACTCAACCTCCATCAGCCCCTTGGCCCGAAGTCCTGGCTCCGTCTGTCGATCCTTTCCCATTAAATGACACACCTCCTCCTCTACCAGCTAAGAAACACAGAAGGCAGCGGCAGCAGCAGGAGCAACAGGTAACTAGGCACTGGTGTTCAGAGTCTGAGACTTTGACCTTGACAGCAGTCACTGATGTGGAATCTTTCCTTCCACTTTTCCAAAGGTATTTTGTTGAAGAGACAAATACCTATTCCTTTGGTGGGTTTTCTTTTATTTGGTTGGCTTTTGCTCTTATGCTTTTTTTAAGGACCTTTAGTATTTTTTAGGGGTATTAGGATTGTCCTAAACTTTGACCCCTTGACTGTCCTCTCTTGACTTTTGATATGTTGAAGCTAGATATGTTTTATATCCTTATGCTTCAGTTCCCATTCAGCCAAAATAGTGTAACTTGTCTCAGGTAGTTTTCAAAATGCTAATAATTATTTCCATTAAATCCATGCTATAAAAAGTTGCTGTGTCAGCACAAAATATTTTTCTTACATGTTACCGAAATCATAATGACATCATGCCCTCGCTATGAGTCATAATTCACTAAACATTTTACAAATAAATATCTCCTTTCTTCCTTCTAATGATCTGTGAAATAAGAATTGATCTCCTTATTGACATTTAGGGAACTGAGGCTTACTTAGCAGAGGTAAATAGCTTGTCCAAGGTCACACCACAAGTAATGCATTTGGCTCATAGAAGTTTTTATTGATCACCTATTTTTAAATAAACATTTCATTATGAATGCCACCCTTCTTTTGGTACATCTAGTGTATAATCATGCATAGGTATTCAAAAGTCTCTTTTGAGGTTTCCTTTCAACTATCATCAGATTTCTATATGAATTTGGCCCCAGAAGATGCTAAGGAGTCATAGTCCCTGACAATTAGATGAGCCCTGCTTTGCTGGGCCCAGCCATTGCATTTCTCAAAGTTACCTTTATTGCCTTTTACCTGTTGTTAAAGGACTGTATCTCCTCGCTACTTTTAGGTTAATAAATAGTAACTAGTGTAAGTAGATAATATAAAGTTAAAATGCAGGTGTATTTCATGATTGGCATGTTTAAAGATTGATCATAAATTTGTTAACTCAGATTTGCATTAATTCTTATGTATTTTAACAGCCTGAGCTTAGTATAAAAATGATCAAACCCCAATAACTTTATTACTCAAGACATTTTGGGGGGGAGGCTAAGAAAAATTTGGATAAATTTCAAGTTGGCAAAAATTTTGCCTTAGGAATCTGGAAAAAAAAGAAATGGTCAACAGAAGGGTTTTTAAATATGAGGGATTAGTGTAGGGGTTTCTTGACTAAGCTTTTTTTTTTAAATGAAAGAATAACCTAGAAGAATGCCTTATATGGAAGCATTATATGGATTTGAAGCGTTTATATGTAATTAAAATATTATTCCGACTTTAAAACAACTTCCCTGTTCACTCGCTCTTTCTCTCCATCTTCTCCCTTCCTTGTTCTCCTCACACTGGGATCTGTGCCATCACATAGAACTGTCCAGAAAGACAAGGGGAAAAACTGCTTACTTGCTTTGTCCACTGGCTGTTCCGCCATCCACATGGCGACCATCATAATAATTTGTAAGTTGTCCTGAGGCCCCAAGGCTGCAGGAACTAACTATGAAAGTGAAAGGTGGATTTTTTTTTTTAAGTTTCTTGGTTAAGTAATAAATTCTTCCAGTGTCTATGTATCTTACAAAATGCTAGCCCTAGTCTGTTAGTGAACGCAAGTATAAGTTGATTTTTTTTTTTAATTCTGTGTTAAAATTCCAAAACTCCTTTGTAAATGCGTACTTCTTAATTTCTTCAGTGACCTCTTTCAATTAGTCAAGTTTTGCTATTCTGCTTTACATTTGCATTTAAAGCATTTTAGAAGTCTGGAAGAAAGGAAAAAACAGCATAAAGAAGGCCTCTATCTGAGTGACACTTTGCCTCGAAAGAAAACCACACCTTCCATATCCCCACATTTCAGCAGTGCTACTATGGGGAGAAGCACCGCCCCAAAGGTAGGACGTGGGGTGAACCATGGGCTTTGCGTTCAGTGAGTCTTCTTGTCCTCATGTTGGCCAACATGCAAAGGCTCTTAAATAAAATGCCGAATAATAAACCATTAAGTTTGCTTGTTGGGCAGACAGAGAACTACATTGCATTTTCTATCCTACTCAGAGGATGTACTGAATTGTACGTCCAGGACCAAAGAACCTGGGCCTGGGTATTTTCTACCATCACACAAGTGGCAGAGAGTGTGCATTTACATGATAGATTCCCCATGACTGCCTCCCAGATCTGGAAATTGGAGGATATTAACTCTGGATTCCAGGAATAGTAGCCACAAATATTTCCTGAGAGCATTTCTGTGAGCCTGACCCTGCACTAAGCCCTTTATATGGATTGTTTCATTTTAAAATCTGGCAGCACTCTTCAGCCAAGGCACGCTGTAGTATCTGCGCTGTACGTCTGGACAAACTGAGGTGTGAAGAGACTAAGTGACTAGCCCAAGCGCCCTCAGCTGGTTAGCAGTGAAGCGGGACAATGAACCCCCGTGGTGTGACACTTGAGTCCTCACTCCTGTTTTGCTGACGTGTCCAGGGGGGTCACTGCAGAAAGAGGGGGAAGGGCAGATGAGAAAGAGGTTCTGAGTGAGCCAGGCTTTGGGGCCTTTCCCTTGCCTTCCATCAGGGTAACTTTGTTTTAATCTATTTTATAAACTGGGGTCCCGAGTATATAGCACACTGCGATTTTCTATTTTGAAAGAGTACAATATTGAGTAGGTTTCTCCAGTGTTGAGGGGGAGCAGGACATTGGTACACTTGAGCAAGTAGACCTCTTCTCTTCCTTGTGCATGATGTGCCTGCATTCCTGTCCCTGCACCTGCCCCCGCCCCCGGCTCCTTGTGCATGAAGAACTGAGTTGTCCTTTAAGGTGGTTTTGGACAGCGTTGCCCCATCTGTCTTCATTTTTGGAATTGCTTCCCCTGCAGAGATTGCTGTGACGTTGAGCCCGCCGTGGGGCCCCTTGGAAGGGTCCGTGACCGGCCTTTGCCTCTTAGCGTGAATTACAGGGACGCCTTCGTTCCTCTTTCCTACCATCCCTGCCTACTGGGCTTACCCTGGAGTTTTGTAGGCAGGGATGTGGCCCTGTCCTGAAGGACCCTGTGGCGGGCAGTTTGCCTGAAATGTCTCCTCCTGGTTCTCACAGGCTCACCTGCCCCTGGGACAGAGCAACAGCTGTGGCAGCGTCCTCCCTCACTCGCTGGCGACAATGACCAAAGACTCAGACTCTCGGAGGACGCTCAGAGGTACGTACCTATTAAATCACACATCGTGTCTGTGGGTAAGTGTTAGAATTTCTCCGGGAGAGGGAGCAAGAACAGGGGTGGGGATCATTAGAGAGGGAACAACCAATATCCTGGGTTTTATCCTTAACGAGTCTTCTTTGGGGAAGGATCTCTGTCGCCTTATTGTTGTACTAAGGTAACTTTTCCTATTATACATATGGCAGGCACCTTTTAAACATACTCACTGCACTTCCTCAATTCAGTTGAATTCCCAAACCAGGAAGGCTCCTCGAGAATGACTAACCTTCCCATTCTGTAGAAAGAAAAGAGAGACGGTGGAGATCCAGAGAGATCGCCAGTTGCCTTAATGAAGCCACTTACCTGGTCTGTGCGCTGAGCCACTATTCTGTTGCAACACATGCTAAAGAGTCATTGAGAGGACACACTAGTGGCCCAGGACCACATTCCCATTGGGCCTTTCATGGGATCTGAGCTTTTTCTTCTATGTGGTTGTTAGGTTTCGGGTAGACTTAGATCCTGGGCATCTTTTATTTCTTAGTAATAATACACTGCATTTGTAATGGAGTTGTCGAATAGTCTTTGAGGCGCTCAGAGAAGTTACTATAATGCATTTCCAGAGGTGAGCTTCTCATCGAGAGGATTAGAGTTGTGTCAACACAGTCATTTAGGTCAATAGTTTATATGGGCCCCAACTTTTGACCAGACGTGGTACTAGAGACCAAGAATGCAAATAAATGACACAGTCCTCACCCCCTGACATGCTTATACTCTAGTGAGGAAGAAAGATACATAAAGATGATTTAAGGACTCCTGAGTGGTTCAGTCAGTTAAATATCTGCCTTCAGCTCAGGTCATGGTCCCAGAGTCCTAGGATTGAGCCCCACGTCAGGCTCCGTGCTTGGCAGGGAGTCTGCTTCCCCCTCTCCCTCTCCCCCTCTCATGCTCTCTCTCTCTCTTGCTCTATCTCAAATAAATAAATAAAATCTTAAAAAAAAAAAAAAGATGATTTAAATGAAATGTGGTGCATGCCGTGATGGGGGAATGCCCAGGATATAAAGGGGGCTGCCGATGGAGTGGTCGCCATTTGGGCTCTAAATGCATTCATGCATTAGTGGAATTGAAACCCTTCCCTCCAACCAGGCTGGAATTCAGTTCTGACTGCTCAGCCCTTCTGCCAGTGGTACCAGGGGATAAACACAGGTTTCTCGCCAAAAGAAAAAAAAAAGAAAAGGAAAAAAATATATATATACATATATGTTATGTATATATATTATATATGGATTTTGTATATATAAAATATATATGTGTGTATGTTTTATATATATATATGTATATATGTATATATATACACACATATATATATATATAGCTCTCTCTCACTTGAATGAGGTTTTTGAATCATCACCAGATGTGGTTTAAGAGTTCATAGAGCTGTAGTGTTCATAAGAGAGGTTTATAATGCATGAAAGGTTTACAGTGTTAACATGTGAATCAAATACAGTTGATTGAACTCCACTTTTATTTTCTTTGCTATAATTTCTTAAGCTAAAATATCTCATGATTTATAAAGTTACGATATCTCTTATAATTTATAAATAATAAACATAAGCGAGTCTTGATATTTTGGCTCTCGTTTATCATTGTTCACTTGTGGGTCAAGTCCATTTTCTGTTAAAGCATTTTTCTGTGATATTTATAGACTTTTTCAATGGGTTTTTCCCACTGGCTGAAGACCTCAGAGCTTGGATTGGCCACAACACCACATTTTATGTCAAAAGTTATTTCTTAAGGAGTAATGAAAACCAGACCTTTATACTAATTGGAGAGATTTGCGAATTCAAGAGCTATTCAGATTATCATGTAAGAGGATTTTTTTTTAAGATTTTTATTTATTTATTTGATAGACAGAGATCACAGGTAGGCAGAGAGGCAGGCAGAGACAGAGGAAGGGAAGCAGACTCCCTGCCGAGCAGAGAGCCCGACATGGGGCTGGATCCCAGGATCCTGGGATCAGGACCTGAGCCGAAGGCAGAGGCTTTAACCCACTGAGCCACCCAGGCGCCCCATGTAAGAGGATTCTTAATGAGAATTTTGGTGAAACCAAAGGATGCTTGATCTTTATTTTTCTAATCTCCTTTTGCCCAACAAAGAATGGGAATCCCCATGATGGGTTCATAGAGGAAGTGTGAGCCAATTCCATTAAGGCCCCATTAAGGATGAACTCCGCAAAATCCATCGACTTTCAGCTAGCTTTGCTCTGGCCCTTCACCGATGTGCTTTGCTTTTGTGTATCTGGGAAGACTGCGGCTGCATTCTTTCCTGCTGCAGCTCTCCAGCAGGGTTCTTCTTCAAGAATTTCATGTGGTGCTGATGGGGCAACTTCTGAGGAAATCGAGAACCATCCTGTGCGTGTTGGTCCCAGCAGAGGTGATGTGTCTTGTGAAGCCAGAGGAAGAGGGGCAGGGAGTGCAGTTCTCAGAGTCACAATAGACCGGAAAATTGGCAGGATTTTCTCCTAAGCCCCTACAGGTGGCCCATCCCCAGGAGGGATGAATCATTATTGCATTTAGAATTGTTTCACTAACACAGTTTTGGCTTCACTAAAATGGCAAAGGCAAGTAAAAGTCCATGGTTTTGAAAAAACTGGACCCAACGCATTTTCATTAACTCAGATGTAATAGATGTTATCATTTTGGGGGGAGTTACACAATTAACTTAAGTGAACTATTTTTTTTTTTTTTGCTGCTTGTTCATAATGGATACATCAAGAACAATGGTGTAAGTATCAGCCTTCCTTCCATCAGCACTGTTTTCCTAGAAAAAAAGATCTCTGAGAGCAGAGTTTAAAGCAGAGAGCCCAGGAACTCAGCTCTTAAAGTTGTAATGCTTATTGGCTTTTGTACCACTTGTGAAATGTTCCTTTGTAAGCTCTCAAATGAATGAAATCTTTGTCCTTTTGTTTTCTGTTAAACGCAGGAAAGTCCAAGAAAGGTATGACAAACCTCCTCGCTTGGTGTTTTTTTTTGTTTTCAGCAACTAGTGAAAGGTCATTGTTAAGTCATCTTTAAGAAATGATCGGATTTGAAACTGTAAAATAGTGCATTTTTAGCCAGAGGATCATACATTTTACACAATAGAGAAAAATTGCTGCACGTTTGCTAGAAACCCAATCCTGAGGGCAGCTGCTGTTCACTCACAGGGGCAGCTGCAGGAGCCCCTTTGTTTTTATTACAAGGTCAGACCCTGCAGGAAACCAGAGTGGGTGGGTGGGGGGAGCATTGTTTTTGCAAGACTTAGAATCTAGATAAAGATCAGAGTGGGCATTGTCAAGTTTGTAGGCTAAGTGTAAAACAGGAGGCTTCTCCTTTCTAAAGGGCAGGTGTAAATAAGGCCCGCTGCAAGGGAGGAGGGAAGGATTTAGGACGCTCCTACTTATTTATTCCATTTAAGCCCATTGTAGAACACTTGTGACCTGGAGGAGTGAAGACCAGTTTGCGTGACTGGCTTGAATAAATGAGATGCTTATGACCGGGACAGGGTGGCAGAGATGCAGGGTGTCAGAGGACGCCCTGGTTATAGAAAATTTGAGGGCCTGTGCTTGAATAACTGAATGGCATTTGATAAATCCTAGCTCTTAAAAACTATGTGCTGCTGTCTGCCTGGGAAAAAGAACTGTTTTATCACTATGATCTCGTTTTTATTCTCTCTGTTTTCTGGTTGGCGAGTATGTGTGAAAGATGTTTCATTTCCAAACGTTGTTGACTAACAGTATGCATGTATCTGAAGCTTATTATTATTTTTTAACTTCCCAGGTTCCTCTGTAAACTCAGATGGAATCTGGAAGTGTGAACATCTGTCTTGCCTTGTTAATCTGGTGTTGTGACTGACACTGCGGAGGATGGCATGTTGCAGGTGTCTGTTTTTCTGGTCTCCCGTCATCCTTTTTGATCTTGTCTCTTTCTCCCTTTCTCCGTCTTCCCCCTTCTTCGTCCGTGACTCCTGACTCATCCTGTACCTTCATCTCCTGGCTGTGGACTATGGTTAGGAAGAATGAATTTCTCAGCAGGTGAGCTACACTAGGCTAATTTGTCAGAGAGACAGATTAATTTTATCCTCTTAAACCCAGATTATAGTCTTAAATAATCTCATTTTCTCTATTAAGCCCAAATAACTATTTAAAGTATACGACACGGGCGCCTGGGTGGCTCAGTCAGTTAAGTGTCCGACTCTTGATGTCGACTCAGGTCATGATCCCAGGGTTGTGGGATCAAGCTCCGTGTTGGGCTTGCACGGGGCTTGGAATCTGCTTAGAGTCTCTCCCTCTCCCTCTGCTCCATCCCCCTTTAAAAAAAAAAAAAGGGAAGGAAACAACACACATTTGGAAGATATTGGCAACACTGTATATCCCACAGTGGGATAACACGATATCCCACGATAGTTAAGTCACAAAGGAGTTTTCAGGTGTAATTAGCCAGAATTCATAGATAGGTATGAATAAGAATGAGAAATAGGCCTTGCACGTCTTCTCTCCTGGCTCTCTTGGACAGTGACGAGACTTGAATTGGTTTGGGTTCCTTGCATGGGCTCTGCTGAGAGCTGAGCCTCAGACACTGTCAGCTCTCCCATTATAAACCTTGTAACTTCCCTCCAGTGGCTATTTCTGCCTGGGTAGAAAGGATGTAGAGCCTTTACAAGGCCTTCTTTGCTTTCTAGTTGCTGTCCCACTGCTGAATGTTATTCTTGCTACATAATTTAAAAACAAAAACAAAAACAACCAAGTAGTCTCAGGGTTTGGAAAAGTCTCATTCTTCCCCGTGCACTTACTTCGCCCCCACCACCCGCACCCCAGATAGTAGACACATTCCACTTCCTTATTTAGCCACCGCCGAAACTGGAATTTATAGATGAGAAAATGAATTGATTCAGCAGCTTTTTAGTTCATGACCTCCCCATACTGAATAAATGGGGATCCCGTGGTGATCAGGGCACCTGGGTCCCCCTCCCCGGGATAGCTTGCCCCTGTTCTGGGTTTACCTAGCTGCACGAGCACTTCTTCTTGGACCTCCTACCAGGGGTCCTCGTTTGGTCCTGTTGCTCTCCTGGGGTGTTTCCTCCATTAAAAGTCTCTGTACCTTTGGACAAGCAGGCCAGAGACTGGGTCCCAAAGCCAGCTCTTTGGAATCACACGGGTGCAATTCCAGAATCACAGGGAAGAGGTCCAGGCCTTTATTTGAGATTGCAGAAGTAACTGAATTTTTTGAAGTTCAGAAGGGAGGATGCTAAGCCAGGTGGTCGCTGAGTTCACTGTGATTATTAGTAGAGGGTTGCCAGGTGGGAGAAACGAGCCTGTCCATGAGGTAGAACATTTCCACTCACCCTGGAAACAAAATTCCTGTGCCAGGAAATACATGCTCATCATTAGCACGTTACTTCACTTAAATGGCCCTGAAAATCTAAGGCACTCGCTAATCCTACCGCCAGAAGGGTGGAAGGTTCTCTCAAACATAGAGCCCAACTCCGACGAATAATGGGGTGACCTGGAGCATTTGTGTTCACAGCCCTTAGCGTGCTGCACATAGCCACACGGCTGGCCCTGGTGCCCATATCTGACATCTTTGAGTCATTTTAGTGTGCTCTTTCTTCACCTGAGGGTCATAAGTTCATTTTCTTATTTGCACTACTTTTGGGGGAAAAAAAAATAGTGGGCGATCCGAGGATCAGGACCCACCTTCTTCTCTGCTCCTCCAAGAGGGTGTTTGTGGCATCATAGGGATTCGCCTTTCCTCATGTCAGTGCCAAGGAGATAATTCTCGTATGTTTTCAATTCCGTGGCTGTCTTTTAGGGACTTGGTTTTCATACGACTGCTAGAAAGTGGCTCCACGATGTCAGTGCCAGCGTCAAAGTTTTCTTTGCCAGTAGGGCTTTTTTGAAAGCACTAGGAAAGATACATGCGTGACTTTTTCAAATAATTTCTGGTGTTGTTTTTTGTTTGTTTGTTTGTTTTTGTCCCTCTCCTTTTCATAATAACTGGAACAATTTAAAAGGAGCGATTAGTAATTCCAAAAATTCAAGTATCAAAGGTAAATATCTGAGTAATGATTTTTTTTTTTTTAAAGGCACAGGCTCCACGCTTATGAATGCACTGGCTTCACTTACTGCTCCCCGCGTTAATCACTATGATTGATGGCCCTCTATCCGAAGTGTCGTGCTGTGCTGTCTTGTGTTGCATCTTCCCTTTGCTGAGTGATATGTGGCTCTTGTGTGTGTATTTGTAATATCTAATTACAGCTTATATTAAGGAAGGTTATTTCCCCAGAAACGCCCTCATCTGAACTAACATATTTGCACTTTGATATTTAAAACTACTCCACGTAGTTTGGCCAGGCAAACTCCCCCTGGAACTAAAATCATTTTACAGAAATGTGTCCGATGCTTTGTTAAATCCTCACGGATGTGGCTTCTGCTTTTTTTGACATTTTTCATTACCAATTAAAAGCCTCAGCAAGGGTAGGGAGAGCTCAAGGAAAGAGGCGAAATTCAAACAGTCCAATCATTAACTCTTAATGGATCTGGTAGTAAATTTGATGAGGGAGAAAGGGGTGGCAACCTACTGTTGGCTAGAGAAACATGTTTTTAATGCGTTGAGGAATTGGTTTATCAGTTCAATGTCTGCTTCCTGCCTGTATGGTACATAGAGAAAGGAAGAATAATTTAACTTGCATTGCCCCAAATCAGCCACCAGCAAGCAAGCCAGAGCAACAACACGAAGTAAAGTCAGTGATCTAACAGGCCAGTTGAGCAAGTACCAGGGTAAGGAGGAAGCCTGGGACTGAGAGCACTTTGGCTGCTCTTGATGTGAGTTCTACATTGTCCTATGGTTGGCCAGCACTAGCTGGCTGAGGGCTGACGGCAAAGGCAGAAAAACAAGAGAGCTCTATATATGGTCCTTAGGAGGGGTGTGCCAGTTGGGAGAATTGTTTTAAATCATTGGCTGTGGATGTTTTAAATAATGAGCAGGCAAGGAAAATTGAAAAAAAGTGAGAAAAATGTGCAGTTTGGATTTTTACCAGATTAAAAGTGTTAGTGGTAATATGAGTGAGATACAAGTTTCTTAAATCCTACACCTCGATGGTCCACCTGCTGTTTTATGACCAGATGGAGTGTTCCTTAAATTTGAATACCATTGAGGAAGTGACTGTCCTAGACCACGCTATTGCTTGTCACCAGGAGTCATCTGGCTTCCCTTGAACCCAGCTACTTCTAGAAGATACAGGGCCTTTCATTGTGTTTCTCTTCTGGTTTGGTTTGCCTGTTTGTGTGTGTGTGTGCGGTTATATCCTCAGTTACGCTGAGATGTGGGAATGGCAAAGGAGAATGTGAGATGATCCACTGACGGAAAAGATCACGCCCAAGACCACCTCGCTTGCACTGAGCATGATGCTGTGTCTTTGATCTTCTTGGCTTCAAAACAAATTAGACCAAAGTCCAAGTTTTGTACGCAGATGTTTTGGGTTGCTGGTTTGAGTCTCAGAAGATCTGAGACTAGAAGATGAGGCATACTAACATATTTATGGCTCTTTCCTTAGGGTATAATCACCAACAGATGAGTGAAGGACAAAGGCAGAAATCTTCTGACTTTTACAACCGCACAGCCTCTGAATCAAATGTCTACTTGAACAGTTTCCACTACCCCGATCACAGCTACAAGGACCAGGCCTTTGACACGCTGAGCCTAGACAGCTCCGACAGCCTGGAAACCAGCATCTCCGCCTGCTCGCCTGACAATATCTCTAGGTAAGATGTATTCATCGTTGGGGCTTCCAGTTTAGAAAAGCCTCTGCTGGTCTCATAAAGTAAAGGCATCAGTGTGGAACAACGTGAATGTACAAGCCCAGATTTCTGAGACATAGTCTATGGGGCAGAAGAGGGTTGAGTGTCATGGCAGCCTTTGAAAGTAATTTCCTTGTATCCTTTGTGGCTTAACCAGTCAGACATCATATAATCCATTTTTCTCCTTTACTCTCTTTCTTTACATTTGAGTTCACGTGTACACTGTGCTTCAAAATTTACTTGCCTCTGTTGGTTGACTCCAAGACTCATTAAGACTACTTTTGATTGTATAAAGAAATCCGACAGTATAGTAAGAATTTCGAAGAATTTCTTACGTGTCTGTTTCATTAAGAGGAAGGGTTTAGAACTGTTCCACATATTGAAATTTTGGTAAGGATTTAATCATTCACATTCATATTCATACTTTGAGGCAAGCAAAGATGGTCTTATGGAATTAGGGCTAAAAGCACATCTAAAATATAGATCTGGTCCTGGTACTCTGCCCCTTCAAAAACTACTCCCCTTTGAGTAAAGTCACGCCCTAGAACCTGCATTCTGGATCCATCCCAACTCGCCGTTCACTCTCTCCTCCTGACATGCCTCACAGGGCTTCTTATTAATTGAGAGGATTATAAATACTCAGATCTCTGTGCCTTTGACCATATTGGTCCCAGGCCTGGAATCAAGTAGTTTGTTCACTCATTGATTTACAGGCTCCTTCATTCATTCCACGAATACTAATGGAGTGCTCTAGAGTCAACAGTGGGCTGGCGTTGGGTCATGCTAGCTGGCAAGTGCCAAATGTGCATATTTTTACCTGTGTGTGATCAGTGATGTCATGTTGGTAGTTTGAAATTGACCATGGTGGCAGTATATACTCCACATAAATGGACATTTGCTATATGTCAGGGTTTTCATTTCCCTCCAGAGAACTGATTTACCAGCATGACACTGTCTACCATCAAATTATCCTTCCATTTGTGTATTCACTCAATCCATACTTACTGAGCACCAGTAGTGTCTGGCATTGTAAATATCTTTACCATCCCCATCCCTCTGCTCCCATCTGAGCCTGGGGAGACTTTCCTTATCTGTTAGGCTTAAACTTGGGTTGGAAACGCAGGAAAAGCTCTCCTTTAGGGCCTTTTCCTTCTGTGTTTCCACTGCACTTGACTCTTTTTTCTATTATATCACTGATCACATGGCAGTATAAAATTTTCTCTTCAGTAATTAATTGGTGAATTCCTCAATGTCAAGGAGGCTGGCTGATTCTCCTTTTCCCCAACCCTTAACATTTTCTGGCTATAGTGTCTGGTTACAGTTAAGTCTCATATTCATTTCATTTATGAAACATGAAATAACCCAAAGCTAAGTATGTTTTATTGATATTACTATACCCAGCAGAGATCTTAGCACATGGTAGGTATTCAGTAAGTGTTGACTGAGTATATACCTCAGGATACAGTAAAATGGCCATATTTTCAATTTTGTTATATTAAAAATTTTTGTTTGGTCTATTTTAATTGACGGAATTGTTCACTCATTGCTTTATAGGCTCCTTCATTCATTCATTCCACGAATACTAATACTATGATCTCAACCTAAGAAACATCCAATATTCAGTAAATGTTAGTTGAGCACTTATGTGTTCCAAATGCAAACGTCTAGTTGGGTCATTGCCATTAACGAACTTCCCTCTGTTGGATTGAAGCCGCAGGCTGGAAGCAGGAATGCTTGTACTCCTTGGGCGATGATCATGCTCCTTGAAGCAGATCACAGAGGGCTCTTGGTCCTGATTTACTTGCTAATCGTAAAATGGAGGGGTCGTTTCTTGAATACAAGGCAATGATTAATTTTAAAACATTTTGATGGAAAATTACCATCCTGTAAATATAAATTAGTTCTTTATTTGAATAATTTGCTCTCCCCTCACCTATAATAAGAGAATGACAGAGAGACAGGGAAAGTAATACCAACAAAACGTACTTAGCTTTGGGTTATTTCATGTTTCATAAATGAAATGAATATGAAATTTAACTGTAACCAGACACTATAGCCAGAAAATGTTAAGGGTTGGAGAAAAGGAGAAGAAGGCAGATGTTAACATTCTGTGGTAAATAAAGTATACAGTGTGTTTTCCTTTGGCATTAATGGGTAAAACATTAATATTATTGGATATACCCTATCAGAGAAGGAAAGGAGTCTCTGGGGAAAAATATTAAAGCAACAATAAGAATTGTATTGCTGCTTGTCACATGGGAATGACCTTAATTGAAAGAGGAGATTATGTAATGATAAAGAATAGGGCTTTGGGGGGCTCAGTTGATTAAGCATCTGGCTCTTGGTTTTAGCTCTGGTCATGATCTCCAGGTCATGAGATCAAGCCCTCCATCAGCTCCATGCTCAGTAGGGGAGTCTGCTTAAGATTCTCTTTCCCTGCCTAAAAATACATAAGTAAATCTTTAAAAAAAAAAAAAGTAAAGCTTTTTGGGGGCTGCCATTATTATTTCAGGTTAGAAGGATTAGTGTTTCATGTTATTCAATATTAAAAGATACAATAGATCACTTTTTAAAAATTTTCACATGACTACATTGGGGGAGACACTTGAGCGTGTGGAAGGGGTGGACATCAAACCAGCTGGCACTGGAGATGCTCTGGTGACACCTGCTGTCCTGCACTTGTCCGAGCCAGGCCAGTATGTGCTCAGAACAGAAAGCCTAGAATGTTGAGCAATTATTCATAAATGACAGTAAACTGACCAGATGTGGTGCTTTCTGAATAACAAGACACAAACAAACTCAGCCACCCAGCAACTATGATAGCTTGGTGACAAGAGGAATAAAAGTGGGCATTAAGAGCGAGAACCCAGGGCACTTGGGTGGCTCAGTGGGTTAAGCCTCTGCCTTTGGTTCAGGTCATGATCTCAGGGTCCTGGGATCGAGCCCCACATAGGGCTCTCTGCTCAGCAGGGAGCCTGCTTCCCCCTCCCCACTGTCTGTCTTTCTGCCTACTTGTGATCTCTGTCAAATAAATAAATAAAATCTTAAAAAAAAAAAAAAAAAGCGAGAGCCCAGATTCCCGACGTCAGAGGGACAGCCATGTTTCGGCGGCATTTGGTACTTAGTTGATATTTTGGAAACAGTTGACTATTCTCCCCTCTTCCCAAATAATTGTGAACATCTTGTACCAATACTTCTTTGGTGAACTCTTTTTTTTTTTTTTTTAAGATTTTTATTTATTTGACAGAGATCACAAGTAGGCCGAGAGGCAGGCGGGGGGTGGGGGAAGCAGGCTCCCTGCTGAGCAGAGAGCCCGATGCGGGGCTCGATCCCAGGACCCTGGGATCATGACCTGAGCCTAAGGCAGAGGCTTTAACCCACTGAGCCACCCAGGCGCCCCTTTGGTGAACTCTTGATAGCTTAACCTTTTATTTACCTGTGTTTTTAAGATTTTGTTTGTGTATTTGAGAAAGCATGCAGGGAGGGGCAGAAGGGCAGGGAGGAAGAATCTCAAGTAGACTCCGCACTGAGTGCCAAGCCCGACGTGGGGCTCGATCCCACAACCCTGAGATCATGACCTGAGCCAAAACCAAGAGTCAGATGCTAAACCGACTGAGCCCCCCAGGTGCCCCTAGTTATCTATTTTTGAGCCATCTTTAGTAGAGAAATACACTCTAAGCATTTGCCTGTCTTGGCATTTTTCCACTCTCTGCCTCTTCCTCCTCTCCAAAAATGGAAAGTAAATATTCATCCCTTCAAGTGATCACTCTACACCTCTCTATTTAGTGGCAGGGAACAGCTGCAGTGCAACAATGGGTACAGGAAATTACCCAAAAAGGATCCGCTTTGATTATAATTACCAAGCATTACGACTTCGGATCTGGACACTTAAGCACTGTGACAGGGCAAGAACTGAATTTATTTTTATTTGCTTGCCCTGTTGGTTTTTCTTAAAATGGTTTCCAGAGGTAGAGAATGAGAATGAGTCTGCTAAATACACCGAAAGAAGAGGACAGCATCACCATGGAGCCTTCCTGGCAGGTGGTTACCCATGACCATGGTCATTTTGTATCCTTAGTTCACGCAGACCTGCCCTGGCAGTGCTAGTCATCACAGATAACCAGTCACCACAGTCAGAAATTACCAATAGTACGTATTTCATTCAGCTGTCTGACCCTCTGAATGTCAAAAAAAGTCAAAGCCAAAGTAGAAGATACCCGTCAAAGGCTTAGTATAAAAGGAAGAGGGAGGGAAACAAACATTTGGCTTCTGTACCACCATCTACTTTTAAAAATTCATGCTATCCTGGGGTGTCTGGGTGGCTCAGTCATTAAGTGTCTGCCTTCTGCTCAGGTCATGATCCCGAGGTTCTGAGATCAAGCCCCGTGTTGGGCTTCCTGCTCTGTGGGAAGCCTGCTTCTCCCTCTCCCACTCCCCCTGCTTGTGCTCTTTCTCTTGCTGTCTCTCTGTTGAATAAATAAATAAAGTCTTTTAAAAAAAATAAAAAATTCATGCTATCCTAAGGTAAGCTTGTATCCACTGTTATGATGTGAAATAATATGATAAACATCAGGCAAATGGGTAATCAGAAACTAATGGTTTGGAATGTATATTATGACAACACATCCTTAATAAGAACTTCTTAAAGTCAGGTAGCAAGAGGAAGAAGAGACTAACACATCTTCTCTTGGTGAGATTTGCTAAAGCTATGTATTAAAATACCCTGAAATGATATGTATGTTAAAGAGGTAATTCCATGCTGAAATTCTAGTGACAGAAGCCTGGTCTTGTGGTTTATTATGTCACAAAAAGCCATTTGTAGAATTACAGAATTACTCAGAGCTGTGGGTACATTGGCCCTTTGCTTTTTGTTGAGACATCATTTTTGTGTCTCCTAGAAAGTTACTTGAGTCAGACAGTATGTTTGCTTTTTCAGCATCATTACTTACACCTTAAACAAACAA